TGCAGCACATGGTTAAAAATATCTTCCATCAGCTAAATTATTTGACCTTCAAATTCTGTGCTTAGGAAAAAGATGGCTTAGATTTATTTGCACATGAGAGATTCACATTGTAATTGTTGCATCTAATGGCTATAAAAAATAAGTGAGATAATCTGTAGAATATGCTAAAAATGTCAGATTGTCGACAGTATGATCCTGTCACCACTGCCACCACCATCATCACCATCACAATCATCATCACCATCACCACCATCATCACCATCACAAATCCTCATCATCATCACCATCACCACCATCACCATCATCACCATCATAATCATCATCACCATCATCACCATCACCATCACAATCATCATCACATCATCATCATCACCATCATCACAATCATCACCATCACCATCATTACCACCATCACCATCATCATCATCACTATCATTATCATCATCATCATCATCACAGCCATGGCAGTGTTACAAATCTCCCTTTTGCCGGAACTGCTAATGTGCTGAAAATCCATAATGAAAGGCAAAAGAAACCAGCTGCTTCACCCTCTTGATAGGAGAACTGCTTTTTTCCCCCAAGCTAAACTGAAACTGGTTCTTAGAATAACTTAGAATGAATAGCAAAAATGTTCCAAACGACAACAGTAAGGACTGAGAGTGCTGATAAGGCAATAGTCGTTACACGAATAAAAAAAAGAACATGTAGTCCTCAGATTCCAAGATCAGGGAGCTCAAAGTGAAGAAATGTCCCAGTGTCAGCTCCTGGGAACTTCAGAAGTTGTGTCCAGCACAGGACTTCCTATGTGCACCATGCTCCCAGCATGCCTTTGATTTACTGGTATTTCCCAGCCTTAATTTAATTTACCTTTATAACCCTGTTCCTTTTCTATTGCTGTGATAAAATACCACGATCGAGGCAGCTTATAGAAAAAAGAGTTTATCTGGGCTTATCGTTTCAGAAGGATACGTGTCTGTGACGTTGGGATGGAGATGCGGTGGCTGGATCTGGAAGCTGAGAGGTGACAACTGGAACCAGCAGAAAGCAGAGAGTAAACTGGGAGTTGACAGCCTGCCTCCAGTGACATGATTCCTTCAGAGAGACCACATCTCCCAAGCCTCCCTGAACAGGGCTACCAACTGGAACGAAGTGTCCAAATGTCTAAAACTCTGGAGGAGATACCATTCAAAACCACCTCAAGTCCACCCTGTTCAAATTGTGAAACATTTCTTACAGACAAATCAACAGTATGCAGCATGCTTCACAATGAGAAAGCAGCCACTTCAATACATAACAGGGAAGCCAATGTTGATCTGAGCAGTTTTCACATGCTCCGGCCTCAGCAGAAAACTGTAATCACTGGATCCATAATTTTGGACAAGTTGTAGGGAATTGCTTCGGAAGTACTCTGAACCTCTGCATCTGTCGTGTCTCAGAGAGTAGAGGGGAAGCTGATGGGAATCGTCGTTAGAGATGCTGGAGAATTACAATCCACAACGATGTCCGATGGTTACCACATCATACCCCTGTGGCTAGACAAGAGTAAACTCAGTGTCTTATGGTCACTGTCTGGACAGGTGGCAGTTTCTGGAGAAAAGAGGCAGGGTTTAGACTTGCTGCTATCTCTGAATGGACACTAGTCCACTCAAGCACATGGCCTTGGCAGGCCTTGCCTTTTTCTCCAGTCCTCCCCGACCCCCCAGCTCCCTGCCTTGCTAAAAACTGGTAATCACATTCCTGAAGCTGGTCGCCAAGGTCTGTTCCCTTATTTGGCTACCTCTTCTTCCTGAGGCTGACTACCAAGGTCCAGCTATCAAAGCATTGAAGTCCAGCTATCACAAGCCCCCTTTGGCTCACCTAATTAACCCATCCAATCAAATTAGACACTTCATCCTACACGGGGTTTTTTCCTTGTACCTTTATAAACCACCGTTTTCCTATGTGCCTTGTCTGTCTCCCCTCTCTCAGAGGCAGTCCTGTGTCCTCCAAGAAAAATACCCCGCCCCCTTTCCCTTGTCCCTTCCCCTTCTCCCTTGACCTCTATGTCCTGTCTTTGTCCCTTATCCCACTCTCTGCCCCTGTGGGGCAAATAAATCTCCTTTGTGCTGAGAACTTGGCCTGAGAACTTGGTCTTTGGGGTCCTGAGCCAATACTTTGTCAATTCCAGCAACTCAGAATGTGACATCTTTCCCGAGGAAATACAATATACACCATCAGTGTGAGTGTTAGTTTAATATGAATAATGTTCTCATAAAAAGAGGAAATATTGACACAGACATATACACAAGGAGAGGGCTAGGACTCAGATTTCTTAGACTGGCTTTCAGGATTTGGTCTGGGCAGTCCAATCATGGCTGTCTCACAGTGGAAAGGCAGATATGGAAAGCCTGGGAATCTGGTAATTGTTCAGTCTGGGAGGTTGGGCGTCTCTGCAGTCACTATCTATCGATGAAGTCCTGGAGGACTCCTGCGGGCTGAAGTTTGTCAGTCTACGTTGGAATCCCCACAGCGTTGGATTTAATACAGGCCGCAGCAACAGGACAGATGAACTTGCCGATGAGAGTGAGGGCAGGCAGCAGGAAGCAGAGCCTCCTTCTTCCCTGTCCTCATGAGTGGGCTGCCAGCAGAAGGTGTGGTCCCCAAGGGGGGTGATTCAGCTGCATGGGCTTTAGTTGATTTCAGATGTAGCCAAGTTGACAACCAAGATTAGCCATCACATTCCCTGGAAACCACAAAGGAAGCAGTCTTCTGAGCTCCCCCAACACATTGATCTAGGACTTGAGCCTCCAGGCCTGTGAACATTACATTTCTGTGGTTTAAGCTGGCTAGCACCCAGTGTTTTGTTATAGCGCCCAGGAGGACCAGTTCACAGGGACCACAGTAGAGGACGTGAGGTAGCCATTACCAGACAAGGCTGCAGGTGGAAGAGAAGGCAGTTGTGGAGAACATGCCCAGGCAACATTTCTGTGAGCGAAGCTTCTCTTAGACCTGGTCCCACCACGAGCTCCGCTTTCTTGTTCTGGAGGCAACAGAAACAGCCCGCCAAGTTCGGAGAATGAACAAGGGAGGGACGTGGCAGATGGAGTCTTAAGAAAAACATATGCTAGCACCCATTTCTCTGGACTATTTGAAAGGCATATTGCTGCCAGACCCAAGTCCACAGGAATGTTATAGCAAGTCTGAAGAATTACAGCTGCAAAGGAAATTTAGGCAAACTTTGGTTTCTTTCTGCTACCTTTCCTGCCCCCCCCCCCCCTTTCCCTTAGCCTTCAGATGATCAAAAGCAGTTCGTTGATCTTGTTCACACATGTGCTGGGCTCTAGGGGATAAGTAAGATTAGAATATTGTCTTCAAATGCTTATAACATAGCAGGGGAATGAAATGTCTGTCATTTTTGTTGTTGTTGTTGTTGCTATAACAAAATACCCGAGGCTGGGTAACTGATAAGGCATTTATCTGGCTCATGCGTTCAGTCACTGAACAGCATGGTGCCAGAACGCTACTAGCATACTGGGAAGAACTCCTGGCTGCATTCCAACATGAAAGAGAGAGAAGAAAGGACACGTGAGAAGAAATGCAGAGGTCACACGGAGAGGAAGGAAGCATGAAACCCAGGAGGGGTGCCTTTGCATCTTGGCAGCCATCTTCTGTCGTTGAGTTATCCACTCTTACCAGACCGGACAGACTCTCCAGAGATGGCATTAGCCCATCCATAAGAACGGAGGCCCTGGGTCCTCCTTACCTTACACTCAGTCCCACATCTTCGCGCTCCAGTCACCTCAGCACCACCACATTGGGGAGCAACATAAAAACCTCTGGGAGTCAAGCTACATCCTGACCAGAGCACTGTGGGATTGCTGTGGTGTAAACGAATGTTAAGGTTAAATGGCTCTCAGGGTTAGAACAGCCAAGTCCAGAACAGTGAGGAGAGCAAACGAGAGAGCTTACAGGCGGCCAAGAGACAGCCAGACTGGGACAAGAGGGAACAGGAAAGCCAGTCTTACAAGGCTCCTGCTGACTTCCAAGCCCTGCCTGAGAAACATGGGCAAGGCATCACCGCCCTTTCCCCCAGTTAACGTCTCAACTTTGTGGTCATGCCTTTATGCACATTCCAATATCTAATGGATCTAGCTGGAGCGAACTGAATTGTGGGTAAAGATGGCGTCTAAGAAAGTCACTGCCTGTTCTAGGGAGGAGATCATCCCAGATCACCTCAGGAGTGGACAAGAGGAGGAGAAATGGTAGAGCAGACCTGGGTGTCCAGGTATGAGAGGCAGGCCTTGGCTCTGCTGCTCTGATCTATCTATGCTCCACCCTGGAAGGTAAACTTTCTTTTACTTTCTCACCTGCTAAAATAAACCTTGGTTCCTTTCCAGCTCTCCCAGTGCCCTAGTAGGCCTTCTCTAGGAACACAAGAGCCCAGGCTGCTGCTGTGATTGAGACCAGAACCACAGAGTAAGCCCCTCGGCATCCATGGCAGCATAAACACTCAGGAACCATAGTGACAGGACAGGAGGCGTTTACAAGTTTAGTGTTTAAAAAAGAGTCTGATATCTTGTAAAGGCTTTTGTAGCTATCATTTACCAGGTTTAGAAAATGCCCTATTCTTTCTTTTTTATACCATTTCTTTATTTTAAAAAGTCATAAATATAATTGAAATTTATCTGTTTAAAAAAAAATCTTGAGATTCCCCCCCTTATTTCTTAAATATCCTAGTTACAGAAGTAAATTTTCTGATATTTAGTCATTTACATAGCCCTAGGAAAACCACCACTAGATGATTTATTTTTCTCAAAAGGGATGAATTACAGGTTTCATTTTACAAAAATGACTCCAGAAGATTCACCCCTACCCCCAGCGCCTGCTCTTCCAATACAATGATTTCTTAGAGTGTGAGTTGATGTTCCCTTCCTGGGATTCTGAATGTGCCATGGCCATGGTGGGACTTCCAAGGTGAGGTCATAATAGGTGGGCGTGGCTGCTTCAATCTACTTTTCTGGAGCAGAATGCTCTGGCATCCAAACACCATGAGGTGAGGATGCCCCAAATCCATCAGGGACATCTGCTTGCAAGAGAATGATAGCCTTCAGCCTGAGGTTTAGCTAGCATCCACTAATGTGGCAACACTGGACTGCACGCACCATCTTGACCGTAAGTCCTGCGACCTGAGGTCACACCAACTCAGCTGAAAAGACATGTGCCAGAGTATGCTGTGAATGCCGCACAGCGCCCGCCTCTCAGGTGTGTGAGTGAAACTAAAATCTGAGGTTATAAACCACCAAGTCCAGGAGATGTTTGTTATGCAGAGATTTGTTTAGTATTTTGGCAACTGCTTTCTTTTAAAAATGTATTCCGTTATTTAAAATTTTTCATATGAGGATGTACTGTATGTTACGCACATTCCCGCTCCCCACCCCCCCAGCTCCCCTGTGATAACTAGCACTTTGCTTTCAGCTGACGAGGCAGCAGCACATCTTCCCTGTTTTGTCTCCAGTGTACATTAACTCCCCAGCCCTGTGCCATAACCTGGTTCAAAGGGATCTTGATCATCTGTCTCTTCCACAAAATATCACACTGGTCCACTTTATTGATGACAGTGCTAGTTGGGTCACGTGACAGGAGGGAACAACCACTTTGGACTTGCTGGTAAAGGATATGCACATGAGAGGATTGGAAACAAATGCAATCAAAGTTCAAGTGACTTCTACCTCCGGGAGGTTTCTGGGAGTCCACCGCTGTGGGGCATGTGGATATATTCCTTTTAAGTGAAGGGTAAGTTACCCGGGCCCTTCACTACCAAGAAAGAAACACCATGCTTAAGAGGTCTGCTTGAATTCTGGAGGCAGAACATTCCCCTCCCGAATGTGTTATTCCAGCTCTTATACCTAGTGACTTGGAAAGCGGCTGGCTTTGTGCAGCGCCTGGAACAGCAGAAGGCTCTTCAGCACACCCAGGCTGCTATACAGGCAGCGAAGTCCTTGGGACCACATGGTCCAGCAGACAACGGCACTTGAGGTGTCAGTGACAGTCAGGGATGTTGTTTGGAGCCTTTGAAGGCCTCTAGGTGAGCAAGGCTCTGCCATCATCTGCAGACAACTATTCTCTTGAGAGATAACTCATGGTCTGGTAGGCCTTACTGGAAACTGAATAACTGACAGTGACCCATCAAGTTACCATGAGATCTGAGCTGCCCACCATGAGCTGGGTATTATCTGATCCACTGAGCCTTAGAGTTAGACAAGCACATCACTAATCCATTTATCAAACAGAAGTGGCGTATATGTGATCCTGAGGGCACAAGTGAGTTGCTCAAATGCTCATGGTTTCTACTCTTGTTGCAATGCCTTCTGCTCCAAAGCATGAAGCTACAGCTTTATGTGATGTGTCTTGTGATCAGTTGACTGAGGAAGAGAGAAGAGGGCCTGGCTTATCGATGCTTCTGTACTATCTGCAGGCACCAACCAGAAGTGGACAGTTGCAGCATTACAGCCTCCTTCTGAGACAACCCTGAAAGACACAAGTGCATGGAAATCTCACAGTAGGCAGAACCTTGGGGAGGATACATGGTCTTACATTTTGTTTGGAAGGAGAAAGGGGCAGATGTGCAGTTCTTTACTGATGTGTGCCACCACTGCCTGGCCTCTATGGTTAACTAGTGGCTAGCTCCACCCTCTGATCTCTAGGCAAGCTTTATTTGTCAGAATACAAACAAAATATCACACAACACATATATTAGGCCAATATTTGCATTTTCTTTCCTTTATTTCATTATCATGTGATATAATACCAGTGGTCAAATGTTGTAAATGTGTATTATCACATTTAAGTTATAAGACACTATGGGACATTATGACATATTCTAAAATATGTCATGTTTGCAGTTGTGTGTGATAGTTATATCATATTAGATGGAATTATGACCTAGTTATTGTTTTATTTTGTAAATTAAGCATGCCACAAGGAGGTTTGATTATGTATCAAGTTGACAAGGGGTGAACTTGTGATGACTAAACTTGGTTGTCAACTTGACTGCCTTTGAAATAAACTAAAACTCAAGCTGCTGGGCACTCTACTGATGCAGTTTCTTTCTTTTCCAGCAAGGGTTTCACTATGTAGCTCTGGCTGTCCTGAGGCTCTGTATGTAGAATGGGCTTGGTTGGCCTCGAACTCACAGACATATGACTGTCTCTGCCTCCCAAGTGCTGGTATTACAGGTGTGGGCTCCACTATGACCAGAGGTATTCGCTTACTCAGAACATTTAAAGTACCCTAAATCTGGGCCATACCCACTGGTGACAGTTCATATAATAAATATCATAAATATGTAAATACAAAAAATAAAGAAACTTTGCTTTTTGCCTGCTCACCCTTGCTCTCTCTGGTGAGTTCACCTCTCCTGTTGCTGGAGCCTGTACTAAGTTCAGCTTCCTCAACGTGCCAACAAAGACCAAAACCCAGAGCCTCTCCAGGAATCTTCCGGGACTCTAGCAATAATTTGAACCTGAAGAGACATGCAGCCCCGTGGACTAAACAAGTACCAGATTCTCAGCTTTTCCACCAGGAGACGGCCTTTCTTTACTACCTAGACCATACCCTGCCAGCCAGTCTAATATCACCCCCATACATAAAAATAAATAGACATGCACCCAGTATATCACTTCTGGGCATTTAGAGAACTGTGATGGTTATTCTTGGTTGTTAACTGACTACATTTGGAATTAACTGTAATCCAGAAACAAAGGCCATACCTGTGAGGGATGTTTTTTTTCTTGGTTTGAAATGGGTGGATCCACTTCTAGTCTGGATCTTTCAGGTAGGAAGATAGATGTCTCTGATCTAAATCTGGAGGCAGGAAGATACAGCTTTAATCTGGCCCACACCTTCTACTGGAAGCCTATAGAAGGACCCATGTTTACTCTTTGCCTGCTCATTCTCACCTTGCTAGTGCATCCATTCCATCCCTGGCATTAGAGCCTACTTCTCTGGGATTCCAGCATATACTGAAGAGCAGCTCAGACATCCAGTCTCATGGACTGAGCAACTACTGGATTCCCGCACTTTCTGTTCACAGGCAGCCATTGTTGGATTAGCTGGACTGAAGCCTGTAAATCATTCTAATAACCCCCTCCCATATATATGAAATATGTAAAGGAGAATAGACATATTCTATATACATATGAAATATATACGGAGAGAGATTCACTCTGTTAGTCCTGTTAGTCTAGAGAACCCTGACTAATATAGAGAACCCTTATACATCCATCTGCACCCCCCTTCTTCCTGTTCTTCTGTCCAACTAGTCCATTGTCTACCTTTCATGAGGATTGAAAGATTGTTCGACTTATATTTTTCCTTCTAGCCCTTCAGGACTGATTTTCACATCAAAGTCATCGTACCTTTTAAATTGAGCTGGGAAATGCTCCTTTTCTAGCCCCTAAAAGAGTCTGTGAAAGTTTGAAATCATTTTTCTTTAATGTCTGATTCATTTAAAAAGTGAGTGTAAAAAGCATCCAGGGCTTAGGCCTTTTTTTTTTTTTTTTTTTTTTTGGAAAGAGATTTTTGCCTCCTGGCCAGTTTTAAAAAGCATGGCTTTATTTTGATTTTCCAGTTTAGATGCATTTACTTATTAAGCATTTTGTGTCCGTAGTGTGTAGGCGTGCTAGCGACACAGCACATGTATGGAGGTCTGAGGACTCCGGGTAGGATTCTGTTCTCTTCTGCCACGTAGTTTCCTGGGGACTGAACTCAGGCTGTCAGGTTTGGCAGCAAGCGTCTTCACGCACGGAGCCATCTCACTGGGCCCAGATTTGTTTATCTTTTAAAGAAAATTGCTTTTCTCTCCCAGATTATGAACACACAAGGTTCAGTGTAACTAAATTATGCTCCTTCGATCTATCTTTCTTCTTTCCTTCCCCGATGAGACTTGGTTTTCCTTCACTGAAGGACGCTGGGCACCAGCTAAGAGCTTTCATGTCTTTATTTTCCTCGCCCCTTTACACCTAACACCTGCTCTGCTCACTTTAGACGTCTCCCGGCCAAAGGATTCAACCTCGCCTGGCCCCGCCCCGCAGCGACTAGGCCCCGCCCCCGCGGAGGCCCCGCCCTTCCTCCCGAGGAAACGGAAGTGGGCGTCCGGAAGCCGGAAGCGGGAGCGCGGCTGCCGAGCTCGAGTCGCTGCGAGCTGCCGCGGCCGAGGGGCGGCGGGCGGAGCTGGCGATGGCGGAGAAGTTTGACCACCTGGAGGAGCACCTGGAGAAGTTCGTGGAGAACATTCGGCAGCTCGGCATCATCGTCAGCGACTTCCAGCCCAGCAGCCAGGCCGGGCTCAGCCAGAAACTGTGAGCGGCGGCGGGCGGGAGTCGGTGCAGGGGAGGCGGCTCCACCCCGAGTCCACGGGGAGGAGGCTGGCGCCAGTCTGACCCTGCAGGGCAGCCTGGGGTTACGCTGACCCCACGGGGAGGCAGGCACCACCCCACCGCACCCCACCCCACCCCACC